TTTTAATCTAATCTGGGACTTCAAACACTGTTATGCTTTGATCATAGGACAGACTTAAGGTTGTTTGGGTTCTCTGTGCTTTCATATCTTAACATATTTGCATTTATTTTAAGGTTAACTTTAACTTTGGATTTCCTGTATTTTATAATGCTTGGATTTTGGATAATTGCAACATCTCTGCAATGTATTTTAACCTAAATTACCCATATTCTCTCAAACTTTAAAATAAATTAAGATGGAATTGTCTCTGGGAACTGAGTTAAGGCTAGGACAAGACTCTCATATAAAATGTCTTTTTAAAACAGGGTCTCAAACTCCTGGCCCACAAGCCGTCCCTGGCTGGAGCGAATGCATAGTCTGACCTGGGACTCCCGGCAGGCTGGGGGAGAGGGGCTGTCTGTTACTGGCCCCCAAGGATGCAGCTTTGGGAATCACTGGGGGGGAGGGGCTGGTGCTGTGCTGTGGGAGTCACTCCTCCTTTCCCAGCGGCGGCAGGAGCGGCGGGGAAAGCAGAGCACACTGGGCAAGGTGCACTTGCTCCGCTTCCCCACAGCTCCTGCTGCACACAGGGAGTGTGAGGGAGTGCAACCACTGCCACTGCACAGCAGTAGCCCTCCCTCCCCCCCAGTTATTCCCAATGCTGCGTCCTCAGGGACGGAGTGTCATGGAGAAAGAAGGCAAGGCAATGGGGGGAAGGGGCAGGACTTGGAGGCCTCCCCCCTCAGCCTGTAGGAATCCTGGGCTGGATTGTGCGATTGCTCCAACTGGCTGGGAGTTTGAGACCCCTGTTTTAAAGGGATTGAGGTGAGAGTTTAATTTATGATTTCTCGGTCTCATGTCCTCTATTTGCTTGTATACATTTTGTTCAGGCCTCTTTGAGGTTCTAGTGTGATGCATTCTCTTGTAAACTTGAACTATTTTCTGTTTGCAAAATTCATTGACACTCACCGAGGCAGCTTATAGTGAGTGGGAGTAAGATTTTTGCTCCCTTGCCTTGTTAGCAGGCAATACTACTTTCAGACTCATCCAGGCAACAGAAAAGTCTGATTTATTCTTGATTGTAATATAATGTGTAACGGGCCTCCATTCTGTCAGATAGAGCCTTGCAAGTAGGACGGAATGGCTGTGTTGCTTATGTCTTGAGTTTTCACAGTTGTTGAATGTGGTTTCAGGAAGAGATGACGAGTGCTTTGGCTACCATGAGAGTGGACTATGACCAAGTGAAAATCAAAGACTTAAAAACATCCAACAACCGCCTCCTCAACAAACGCCGCAAGAAACAGAAACAGGCAGGCACCTCTTCTGCAGCCCCAGGATGTAACAACCAATGAGATTAAAGGAGAGGCTGAGGACTTGAGGGTTAAAATTAAAAGGAACAAATAAAAATGAGCAGGGTCAGCTCACACTATACCACAAAGGGAGAAAAAGAGGAACCTGGCTTGCAAAAGGGGAAATGTTAAAGACTACATCATTCTAGAATTTTATTGGGGCTTTGCTTTTTAAGGGGGATTTATTCTTGCCACATCATTTTTGCATTTTGCTAGGGATACCTAGCAGTACCAAAAAGTGTGGGACTTTATACAGCTTTAGCTGTTCTAGGGTAGCAGAGGATACAGGAGTTCAAGTCTGAAGAAACTCATGCACAAAGGCTCTAACCACAGCCTCTGGGAGTGACTTCTACTGTAATTTTAATTTTGTGGAGGGGAAGGCCAAAGAGGTTCTGCTAGGAGAGGTTCACAAGCTCAAACATGGGTATAGAGAATGAAGTGGAACATCACTGCTCTCTTCACACAACCAGCGCAGTCTCAGCTCTTGGTGTTGCTGATGCATCTGAATGGCAGCTCATGCTAGCACTGGTGAGAAGAATGAGTGTTTTCCAGGTTTAACTGCTACAGCTGCATATCATTATCTGAACAGGGAAGCATTGTCCTTCCCGTGCAGCTAATGGATGGAGAAAGGGTTTCTTCTTGCATTTCCTTATTCATACAGGTCCTTAGTCTTATGAAATTCAGATTTTGTAGCACTTTTCTAATTTAATAGCTTGTTCATTTTCTACATTTACTGTGATGACATGTCTAATTTGTTAGCATATCTCTCGTGCTTTTTTAAAATCTACAACAGTATTTTACAAAAAGCTGTTTGTTTTTCATTAGCACATCGTTCTGAGTCTGTGAACCTTCCATGAACACAACTGGATAACTATCATATACAGAACACTGCCCCAAAGAGGGGCATCTGAAGTCCACAAAGAGATGGGAAGAATTGTTCTCTGTAGGAAATCCCATTGTCTTACTTCCAGTCTAGGTGCTTATTTCTGCCAGGTTATTTTTGCTTCTTTATCTGCTATGTTATAGAAGCAAACTGAAACCTTGGGGAGTATTTTTTACCCATTCTTACACTAGACAGTGTAAACCTATCGCAGCAATAGCCCTGGATCCAGAGTCACATCATGAATATTCAGCCATTGGTGGGGTTTTTTCCTAACTCAAACTCCCATTTTACAGTATTTAGGATGTTGTTTGTTAATCTGTTCTTCCGCTTTATTTTCAGATTGTTTCCTCTTACTTCATTATGGGTTTTATTTGAGCTGAACAAAATATCAGCAAGAATGTTTTGTTTTTAAGGTGAAATTGTTTCCAGCGGTGCAAACACGCACACATTGTAACATGGGAAATGAGGGGCTGAATGTTTCAGGCAAGAGGACAGAGGCATACAAGAGGCAAAGAAATCCTGCCAACCAAATGTCTGGATCTTCCAATATATCTGAAAGCCACACTGAATTTGTCACCTTTCCACTGAAGATTTGCTTGATGTTTCAAACTTGCAAATGGGCTCTGGTATCATGTAGGAAGCATTGGCTATCCCTACCAACCATCCACTTTTCTTTGTGTGATATTCTTAGGATTTTCCAAAATGATTTTAATAAATCATGATCATGTTCCAGCACTCTTTGTACAGTAGTCCATGTTTTTTTGAAGTGTCATGAAGTTTTTGCAGGAAAGGAAAAGTTTGAAAAGCAAAAATACCACCTGCACTCAGAATGTCCATCTTAAGTTATCTGAACATCTTTTTGCTCTCAATGCTTTGTTTTTAAGTAACATTCTCTGTATAGATGTAAACTTGTAAAGTTTATTTCATGTTATTAGTCTAGCTACGTCCATGGCAATTGTACATATCACATAAATTGATGTATCCTCATCATGCACCTGTGTGATAGAAAAACATTAGTCCCATACCTATAAAATGGGGAAAATAAGGCAAAGGGAGATTAACTGATAAGCCAATGGTCGCGTGGATAAGGTCTGTGACAGAGTTAGGAATTGATCTCTTTAGTCCCAGTTCAGTGCCTTTACCACAGGATCATCCATCCTTCTTCCCAAGACTTCATCAGTTTTCGGATGTTACTTACCACGTCATTACAGTTGTCTGAGGGTATGTCTACACTAGCCCCCTAGTTCGAACTAGGGAGGCTAATGTAGGCATTTGAAGTTGCAAATGAAGCCCGTGATTTAAATATCCCGGGCTTTATTTGCATGTTCCCGTCCGGTCGCCATTTTGAAATTCCACTAGCCTGAAGTAACTGCCCGCGGCTACATGCGGCAGTGAAACGGCAATTCGAACTGAGTCCTTAGTTCGAATTAACTGTTACACCTCATTCCAGAAGGAGTAACAGTTAACAGAACTAACGACTACCTCCACTTACAACCATCCGCACTTACGACCAAAGTGGTTGTAAATGCAGATCCGAGTTACGTACGGCGAGCTGCGCTTACAAACAGCGCAGTCGCCATGTAACTCTGGGACCCGAGTTACGAACACTTCGAGTTACGGACCAACTGTTGGTCCGTAACTTGTTCGTAACTTGGAGAGCGGCTGTACTTAGGTTTTTGTAGTTTTTCCCCTTTGGGGGTGGGGAATGACAGGCCTGCACAGCTTTAAGCCTTGTGTGTCCTGTGCAAAATTCATGCCTAAGGGAGACCCCCCAAGACGCCTGTTTAAAGTGTCTGGGAGAGTCTCACCTCTCAGACGCTTGTAAAATCTGCAGGGATTTTAAGCAGCGTATGAAGCATGAGAGAGAGTCCCAGTTAAAACTACCCCTGATGGAGGCGGCTCTTCACCCAGCTCCTGAGGCCACGGTGCACAGTGCACCGGTGTCAGTGTGGGTAGCACAACTGGGGCCCTCAAACAACTCGATGCCAAAGTCAGTAGCACCAAGGACCAGTTGCAGTCTCTGACTCCGCAGAGGAAAAGAGGCTCCAGGGTGAGATCACCAGGCCGTAAGTCCCATGTGGGTCGGCACCGTCATAATCGTTCCTCAGGCCGGGACTCCCCTGGTACTGGTGATACGGGAATGCAGATGAGGAGCGGCGACCTGCTTTGTGCGTATAGCCCAGTCCCAATGCCAGCGTACTGACCCTCCACACCAGAGATGTTTGAGGCAGCGCACGATCTCCTTGAGTTGATGGCCTCACCTCCGTCGTCCCTGTACTTAGAATGGTCTGGGCTGGTGACACTGGGGGCCATGTCGGCACCTGTCACCTCTTTCACACTGGGTGCTTGGTCGGCACCGGCATCTTCAGTGGCCTCGCAGATGGCATTGAGGTTGTCTTCAGCACTGGCAGTGCCTCCGCAGCGGGCTCTGGGGTTGGCAGATTCCCAGCAGGTGCATCGTGACCGCTCAGCACCAATAGCGTCTGTGTCTTGTGCGCATTGGGCACCCCCTGCCGCTCCACTGATGTGTTTGGTACCAGTTCCAGGGTCGATACTGGCTCCGTCTAGCACCTCGGCACCGTTATTGGCACCACAGTCGGCACTGCCTATAGCCGCATCGGCACCGCTTTCATCAGCACTGGCTCATATGACTGCACCAGCACCTTTGCCGTCGACACCGGCGACTTTGGCACCGTTGCCAGTTCCAGCCTCTGCTCCCAGCTCGGTGCAACAGATTCCTGGTACCTGGGTTCCGGCACCGGAGCTTTTACGACTTCCTGTGTGGACCCATGTGGGAAAACCAGAGTCTATGGACAAGCTCATGCCTCGTGTGGCTCCTGGACACTCCTCCACAGCATCACCCTGGTCTGCTTCGGACTACTCCTTGGAATGTGAGGCAGAGTCATTCTGCTCCGCGGGGTTGTCTAGGGCTTCCTCAAGATTCTGCTCCCGTTCTCGGCACCACCCGATACCGCAGGAATTTCAGCAAACGTGGCCCCCACAGTCCCAACCACCCTGGCCGTTTTGGACCCCTTGAGCTTATCAGTGGCAAGGCCCTATGCCACCCTCCTGGGCGTCCACTATCTCCCACTGATGCAGCACCCCATCCGCCTCGCTTTCCAGGCCCCCGCCACCATCCGCGGGAAACTGTCCCCAGATAGAGGACTCAGAGCAAGCACCCTCTGGTGTTGTTGCGCACCCAGTCTGTGGAGAGCCTCTTCAGCTGGCTTGTCTTCCGGAAGTGCTGGTTGACCCAGGGCCCGTTCGGGAATCCTCGTCACCCCCCAATGAGGCCCTGGTGGACCCTGCTCCTTCTATGCCAGTGATGGATGCCAGGTCCCATCAGGAGCTGCTCCGTCGCCTGGTAGCTAATTTGGGGGTTCCGGTGGAACCAGTGCCGGAGGTCTCCGACCCGATGGTTGACATTCTCTCTGAGGATGCCTGTGCCAAGTTGGCCCTGCCACTTAATAAAACGGTGGCTAAGATCACAAATGCCTTGTGGCAAACTCTGGCATTGATAAGCTCTACCCTGAAGGGGGTAGAGAAACGTTATTATGTTTCACAGTCGGGACATGAGCACCTCTACTTCTACCCCATTCCTGGTTCATTGGTGGTCCAGGCAGCAGCTCAGGAGGAGAGGCAGGTGCAGCCGGAGCCAACACCAACGGCCAGGGATCCTAAGTGTCTGGACTTGTGGGGCGCAAGGTGTATGCGATGGGTGGGGCGCAAGGTGTATGCTACGCATTGCAAATCAGCAGGTGATGCTTAGTTACTATGCCTATAATACCTGGCAGGCGATGGACAAATTCCGGGACAAGCTGCCCTCTGACGCGAGGCAAGAGTTCGCAGCTATGGCCACGGAGGGCAGGACCATAGCACAAACAGCCCTACAGGCCTCCCTGGATGCGGTGGACTCAGCAGCAAAAACCATGGCTTCTGATGTGGTCATGTGCCTTAGGCAAATCAGGGAGAGTGCAGTTCTAGTCCTCCAGGTGAGACTACCGGAGGCGTCGGCCTTGTGCTCCCAGTGGATGTACGGGTAGTGCGGCAGGTGCTGCTTCCACCCGTACGAAGCGTCGCTTTCCACAGATGGATACCATTAGGGGAGTTGCCCAGCCCCTCTCCCACTATCTTAAACAACCATTTTTAAGGTGTGCTTGAGGACCGTGTACCAACCCCCGGTGTCCCCTCGTTGTTTGGGGACAGGTTGTCCCATTTCGTCCAGGCCTGGTCCCAGGTCGGCCTGGTAAGGATGGGTTATTCCATCCCCTTTCTGGGCTATCCCTCTTCTCTCCTCCCCCCTCCCCCCAGTCACTTTTCAGGGACCCATCTCACAAGGTCCTTCTTCGTCAGGAGGTCCTCTCGCTTCTGGAGAAGGGAGCGGTAGAAAGAGCCCCCTCGCATCTAGAGGGCAAGGGGTTTTATTCCCGATCATTCCCAAGCCAAAAGGTGGGCTTTGGCCTATTCTAAATCTCAGGAACCTTAACAGGGGGATAAAAAAGGCAAAGTTCAGGATGGTGACCCTGGCCTCCATTATCCTGGTTCTGGAACTAGGGGATTGGTACGTGGCCCTCAACCTCAAAGATGCCTATTTCCATGTGGCAATAAGACTGAGTTATGAGATTTCTCCACTTCATGGTGTCCCACAGCCACTTCCAATTTACTGCACTCCCCTTTGGGCTCTCTACAGTCCCCAGGGTCTTTACAAAGTGTATGGCAGTAGTGGCGGCATTTCTCAGGACACACGGGATCCAGGTCTTCCCCTACCTGGACGACTGGCTCATTCGTGGGCGCTCCTGAGACCAGGTGGTAGTGCATATAGCCTTTATGAGAGCCCTCTTTCCAAAAGTTTGGGCTCATGCAAAACAAGGAAAAGTTAATGTTGACTCCCCATCAGGACACAGAATTTGTGGGGGCCTATCTGGATGCCTGGACGGGGCTGGCTTACCTCCCCAGGGCCAGGTTCCGCACTATGGTGTCCATGGTATGCAACCTGACGCTCTCCCCCCTTACGATGGCTCGTACCTGTATGAAGCTGCTTGGACACATGGTGGCATGTACGTATGTCATCCGCCATGCCAGGCTAAGACACCGGCCTTGCAGGCATGGCTGGCGAGGGTGTTCGACCAGGCTAGTTTGCACTGTGCCTCAGAAGGTGATGTACTCAGGAGGATGTAGTGTGCAGTGGGGTGCCGTTTCAGGTCGAGCTCCTCTTGGTAACGTTAGTTACAGATGCTTCTGACGTCAGTTGGGGTGCACACCTAAACTGCTACAGGATGTAAGGGGTGTGGGCCCCCCACGAGGGGGCCCTACATATAAATGTAAGGGAGCTGAGAGAGGTCAGGAGGATGTGCGAGGTATTCCTAACCGGCAGTCAGTGCTGGTGCAGTTGGACAACACGGCCACCGTGTTTTATATAGACAAACGGTGGGGCTTGGTCATCCCCACCATGCCAAGAAGCAGTTCTTCTGTGGGAACTATGCATAATGCACAATATTCAGCTGCAGGCGGAGTACCTGCCAGGTTGCAAGAACTTGTTGGCAGATTCTCTGAGCAGGTCCTTCGGAGCCCACGAGTGGTGCCTGAAGGAGGAGGTCCTCCTACCGGTTTTCCACAAGTGGGGTTGTCTCCGAGTGGACCTCTTCGCCACCCAGGAGAACAAGAAGTGCCCCCAGTACTTTTTGTTCTTGGGCCTGGGCGCAGAGTCAATGGTGGATGCTCTGAATACTGCCTCGCCATGGGGCCTTTTGTATGCATTTCCCCTGTTTCCGCTAGTCCCCAAGGTCCTGACCAGAGTCAGAAGGTTCAAGTCCCAGATCATTCTGATAGCTCTGAACTGGCCGAGACAGTACTGGCTCCCCATATTGCTGACCATGACACGTGCAGAGCCACAGCTCCTACCCATGGTCCCGGATCTTGTCATGTAACCCTGGGAAGGGGGTCTCCTCATCCACCTGCACCTTAGGTCCCTCCATCTGACAGTTTGGCTTATCTGTGGCTAACACAGTCAGAGAAGGCTTGTTCTGAGGGGGTACAGATGGTTCTGCTAGGTAGCAGAAAGCCATCTACCAGGAAGTCCTACGCCGCTAAGTGGAAGAGGTTCTCCTTATGGGTGTCCAGAAAGGGCTTAGATCCATCTTTGGCCCCCGTCCCGGTGGTTCTGGACTACCTATTTGAGTTGCGGTGGAAGGGCCTGTCTACCTCTTCCATTAAAGTGCACTTAGCTTCCCTGTCAGCCTTCCACAAGGGTATTGGGGGCAAATCCCTCATGTGAGGGCACCTGTACCCCAGTGAGATCTGAATTTGGTACTTAGAAGGCTCATGTCCCCCTCCCCTCCTTTGAGCTATTGGCCACATGTTCCCTAAAGTACTTGTCCCTTAAGGTGGCGTTCATTGTAGCCATTACCTCGGCACGACGTGTGTCTGAGCTTCGTATCCTAACGGTGCAGCCGCCGTATTTAGTGTTTTCAGTGGATAGGGTCAGGCAGTGCCCCCACCCAGCCTTCCTACCTAAGGTAGTCTCAGTTTTTTGTGTCTCAGGATATGTATTTGCCCGTTTTCTTTCCTAAGCCACACTGCTCCCCTAAGGAGCAAGTGTTACATTCCCTCGATGCTAAACGCACGTTGGCTTTTTACATAGACAGAACGAGACACTTTCGTAAGTCATCTCAGCTGTTTAGTGCTTTTACGGAAAGAAGTAAAGGCTTGCCTGTTTCAGCCCAAAGGTTGTCTGCCTGGATCTCTTCGTGTATCAGGGAGTGTTACATTTTAGCGCATAGGGAGCTGTCCCAAGTTAAGGCACACTCCACCAGAGCGCATGTGTCCTCCACAACTTTTGGAGCGCAGGTTCTGATTCTTGAGATTTGTAGAGCTGCCACGAGGTCCTCTGTCCACACGTTTACAGCGCATTATGCGCTTACCCAACAGGCCAGGGATGATGCTGCCTTGGGTTCTGCTGTTCTCAGCTCGGTCCTGTTAAAGAAAAAAAAAGGGGAGTTAAAGAGGTTAATATTTTGTATGGTTATTGTTAATACCTCACATACGTTCCTTTATTATTAGGCTGCATTTTTAGGTTGAATAAATTTCTGGTTGTTGTTTATACTCTTGTGTTGCATCTGGTTAGGAGTTTGTCTCCGACCCCACCTTCATAGGGGTTTTCAGCTTGGGAGCCACTTCATTCAAATGGACATGAGCAACCACTCGAAGAAGAAAAGAATGGTTACTTACCTGTAACTGTTGTTGTTCGAGATGGGTTGCTCATGTCCATTTGATTTCCTCCCTACCTCCCCTTTGTCAGAGTTGCCGGCAAGAAGGAACTGAGGAAGGGGAGCGCCGGCAGGGGTTCTTATGCTCTGCTATAGCGGTGCCATTCCAGGGGGCGACTTGCCGGCACCATGGATACCGCTATGGAAAACACTTTGAGAACCGTGCATGGGCACACCTCATTCAAATGGACATGAGCAACGCATCTCGAAGAACAACAGTTACAGGTAAGTAACCGTTCTTTTTCTGGTGGACAACTCCAAAGGGCCATTGATTCATCGCGCCATTACTCCAGGTTTACAGCAGTGTGATTCCCTTGAAATCAAGAGTTACACCACTGTAAAATAAGAGTGACAAAGTGGTGAGTCAGGTCCCTAGGTACTCAAATTCCGGTCCCTGGACAGTAGAAGTTGGCACTTCTAATGAGGGAGAGAGGAACATGTGAGGTAAATGCCATGCAATTTGTGTCCAGCTTTTAAACCCAACTTTGCTACAACTTCAACCATGAGGGAGAAACAGGCTACAACATGGCTGTGTTACAGCCTGGTTCCATTTACAATATAGACAATCTTTGTTTTAGCTATGTCACTAAGCCACACCAAATCCTTGGATACATTAAAGATTTCAGTAGGGTTTGAGCATGTGGTTAATGTCCCCCTCATTGAAATGTGCAGGTGTTTTGTCACCAAATGGAATAATTATGTTGAAACCCTCCCCCCAAACCACCCTACATGGCTAAGGAGGTAGCTTAGACAAAGCCTTGGAAAACAAAGGTGTCTCATTTCAAAGTTTTTTTGTGGATGTGGAGCCACCTGCTGGTCCTTTAGAATCATTGCACTTGTTACAGCATTAAAAAAGAGTAAGAGTCTCTATCAATAAGAACTTCAGGGGATAGCCGAGTTAGTCTGTTACAGAAAAAAAACAACAAATGGTCTGGTAGCACTTTATAGACTAACAAAACGATGGTAGCTTTCATGGGCACAGCCCTCTTCTTCAGATGACTGGAAGTGGGCTGTGCTCACGAAAGCTCATGTTATTAATCAGTAAGAAGCAAGTAAAGATTGACATGAATAAATAAAACGGCTTTTAGTGTGTGGATGCTACACCCACTAAAGATTTTTGTATTGGTACTGAAATGTTGCAACTTTTTGTCGCTCTTGTGAAAGTTCAGTGATTTTTTTTAAGTGTTTACCTTAATTTAGTAATAGAGAGGTAGCCATGTTAGTCTGATCTTACTAAAACAAAAGGAAAAACTATGTAGCACTTTAAAGACTAACAAGATGGTTTAATAGGTGATGAGCTTTTGTGGGCCAGACCCATTTCTTCAGATCATATTCTGGAAGAGAATTGGCATGACCATATATACCAAAAGGAATACAACCTTAATTTAGGTTACTCTGCCATGGAAGAGGTTTGCAAGACAAGGCATGAATGGTGCTCTTTATTCTGTGGCTTCTCACGTTTCACAGAAACCTCTTGCAGTTTGTAGCTCAGTTAAACAAAATGCCCATCACAACATTTGCACATACCATAAAGTGCTCACATTATTAGCTATGTTACTTTGATCTCATCTCTATGAACTCTATCCTTGCTCTCTTACACTCCCTCCATTTGGTATAATAGCTTCTTTGGAACTTCCTCCTTGGGGTCCAGATTTATCGCCTGTTTTTAAAGAGGACAGACTGTTGTAAAGCTGATTCATTTGCATGTTCATCAGGCATATGGATGAAGTGACATAGTTAGGAAGAGAAAGAAGTGAATGGCCAAAAGATGGGCTGCAAAAAAAACCCATAAATTTTTAAAAGAAACAAACAAAAAAAACCTTTTAGGCAGAACTCAATAAGAACTGTGTGCACAATTCCCCACCCGTTTCTTTTAATAATGATTGTTTATGGGTTGTCACTTCCCCTGTGTGTCTCTGCAACTGCTCTCTCTTCCTCTCATGTGTGCACTCTTACACAGAGACACAGTAATTCCTCCCCACCCCCTGTATTACGTCTGACTACCTTCTTGTCTTTGATCAAATGGACATAGTAATGAACCTTATTTAAAATACACCACTTCAAAACTAATTTTAATTGTAAGCCATTGTTCTACTCCCCGGTCTCCTGAGGTCTCCTGAGAAAACACAGCATGTAGTCTTGGGTCTGTGTGTCTTAACTCTTCGTTGTCCAGGGTTTGGAAGCTGTCCAGCTCTTGATTTGCCTGAAATCAAGAAAAGTAAGGCACTACATACTCAGTTTGATCTAATTTCCTGTTCTAATTTCAATGAAATTGGGATTTTTTTGGCCAATATATGACCAAATTCAAACTGTGATGCTTTGAGAAGAGGGGCATATGGTGGGATAAAGAGTTAGAAGCCTTGCAGGTATACTTTTGAAGTTGTTTTTAAACATCTGTAAAGGGGTGAGAAGGTGGTGTTAATCCACCCCAAATTGCATCTCTCACATACATACACACAGGATTCATGCATACATACAGCCCCAGGAAATTATTCTGCATCCAGTGGGGGGAAAATTAATTCTTGAATTGAGAGGCTCATTTTCAAACTGTAAACCACCCTTTCTACTTTTCTGCCACTCTCATACCTGCAATCTCAGTAATATGTTTGTTTCATCTTTGCATCTTCTTTTCCATGCCTTTATCTCCTTTCACTTTGACTATTGCAATTCCATCAAGTAAAGCCTGTACCCTGGTTTTCCAGACACCATCTTGTGCAGAATGCCACTCTGTACTTTGTATCTGGGAGAAAGAAGGATTGTGCCATCACCCTTCCCCCCCCTCCACACACACACAAACTGCTCCCCATTCATTTTAGGTTCCCCCCTTTTGCCAACATTTCTATGAACTTGCTGCCATTGTCTTCACAGATACTTCCCCTACCCACCAACCCCTATTCATTCATTACTGCTCTTTCAGACCGTGCTTAAAAACCAGAACAGTGTCCGAATAGAGAAAGAAATATAATTATGCACTTAGGGGATCTAACGCCTTCAAAAAACCCCCAGTTTTTTTCTCTGATGAGAACAAAACTCCTCTTTCTGCTAAATCTTTGTTCTTTCCCTCTTCACCTTTCTTACTCTAGTTTGCAGAGCAAGCTCCTTGTTTAAGATGTTTGAAGAGGAACCATCCTGGGGCATCAAGCCTGTCAAGGTGAAATCAGGCTCAAGCTTGTCCAAGACCTATCAGTTAACCCCCAGCTGGTCCTGCTCTGGTAATTTTATTACCATTAGTGATTCCATTCAAGAAATAGGGGAAAATACTTGTAGAAAGAGAAAAGCCCAGTCAGAGGAAGGAGCTCCAGAAAAGAGGTAGGAAAGTGACCTCTTCACAGAGGGTTGGTGAAAGGCAGGCTAGAGAGATTTATATTGAACAGGTCTGGCTCCTGTAGCAAGGCTCTGAGGGAAGGATTGTAAGAATCTGAGAGATTCCTGGAAGAAGCTGTTGGAATCCTCAGGAAAGGAGCTCAGTGGAGAAACCTGATAGAAAGAAGTGGTTTTAAGCAAAAGGTCCTGGGGGACAGTGGTTAGCCAAAGGAGCAAATGTATTGAAACATTTCAACTGGTCAATCCCAGCTATTAAAATAAGATGACAAAATATATTATTTTCATTAGAAAGAAAAGCCCTTTCTGTGAATGAAATGCAGTATTAATAATGAAACTGTCTTATCCATTGGATTGTTAAGAGAAGTTAAAAGGAGTGGGATATCATGGTGAAAGGGGGGTAAGAACTGAAAAATGTCTAGTATCATGAGAGCTGTGCAGTATCCCAGGCATGTTTTATTATCCTGTTTTAATGCTAATGCCTAGTGGCTGACTGGCTTGATTGTTCTGAGAGCATTGCTACTAAAATCTAAATGTATCCATAGCTGTGGACAGTTAAGCAAGCAATTTGGAAGTTAAAGACTCAAGCAACTGGAAGCCAACGTGGCTTCTTTAGACGATATAGTCATCCTCATACAAAAGATTTATAATGTAAAAGGTATTGGTCTTGAGGGACAAGATTGAGGACCTGGAAAATAGATGGAAGTGTAACAGCCACTTATGTACTGACCTCCCTGAAGGTAACTAGGCATTTGGTGTAACAATTTTCTGCAAGAAATAGCATCCTGAATCCTGAGCAACCTCGTTATGTAAAATCCTAGTCTACTCTACTCCATGGTCTGTACATGCACATCTTGCTAATGATCCAAGAGCCTTGCACACATGTGGACACATTCCTATCTTAAGTGATGTGTTATGCCCCTTTCCAGCAGATACGTTCTGACTTGGAAAATCTTAATGTTATTTCCAAACCTGCTGTGATGGGGTGAGGAGGCCACTGACACTCGTCTCATTGCTCTCTGGGGGCTTCTCGCTATCCTGTCCTGCTGGGCCAGCTCATCTGGTCTCCCCCGGCCAAGGAGCAGAGCTCAGATCAATGAAAGCAGAGTTACAGACAATGAAACTCTTCAGGTCTGAGGAAAATACCATTTTGGGCCCAGCTTCCTAGGATACCACTCCCTAAATGGGGTCAAAACTCCAAATGAATTATTTAGGGAAGCCCCCTTTAACAGGGAAAGACTGTACACACTGATTGCTCCCCCCAGTAACAATTATTTACACTGGGCTTGATAGTAAATAAGTGGTGATTAAATACAAGCAGTAGGATTTAAGTAGTTGTGAGAACAGGCAGAGCAAAGTAGATTACTTATCAACCTATTACAAACTTACCCTAAAACTGTTCTTATTCCAGCTAAGCCTTCAAATGAGGGAAGTCCCCTCTCCCTGGGATCTTTGGCTAATTGTCTTTGGCTGGCATGGCACTCCTAAGAAAAAGAAACTGTTAGCCTCCCTTTGTTTTATAGATTCCACCCTGGGAAGGAATTCTGTTTTGATATTCCATTCTTACATGGAACATTACTTGGTCAGACCCTACCAGTTGGGGTAGTCATGTGACTTCGTAAGAGCAGCCACTGCTTGGACTCAAAGGACAAAAGAGACTGTTAACAGGTGATTACCTAGACATCGAGGTGCCACTGCACTAGAAACATCCTTGATGATTTCATTTGGACATTTAAAACCATAAAGCATTCCATACGCCATATAGCTAACTTTACACACGAGAATACACCAAAATAAGATATACAGATCCAGCAAAGTCAGACATTAAGATTGATAGGTTACATAAGGCAATTTGTCCCAAGCATGTTTAAATTATGCATATTTGTGTCCATAAATCCATTTCATAAAGCGTGTGTGTGGGGGGGGGGGGGGTGGAGTCCATCACACCTGCCCAGCAGCTTTCAGAGGTAGAGAACTTTCAGATCCATTCAAGAAGTTAGATGCCCGCTTTGCATTCATGTACCCAGCATTCTCCAGAGTTTGGAATATAACTGCACTAACACCTTCCAAATCCAGTATACTCTAAATATACTAGTGGAGGAAGATTACCCTGACAGTTGGATGAAGTGCTATTATTTTGTGGGGAAGTTTCCTTCTGTCTTCCTTGTATCTGAGACATTCCTTGGAGTCTCAATCCAGGTGCTTTTGTCCATTCCCAGTGCAGTTCTGCTTGTCCTTCCAATCTTCCTCTTTTAAGAGACTGTGGAGGGAATTGACGAGAGACCGATGCCTCTCCCCGGGGCTGCATGGAGTGTGGCAGTGCAGGGAGAAGTGGCTTCCCCGCCATTGCTGGAAGCATATGGAGGCCCCTTTTCAATACTGCGATCGGCTCGGGACCTGGCGGCCAACCAATGTGCAGGCAGGTTACTGCCAGGGCTTACTCTAGACGGAGGGGGCGGGGTTGCTGTTACCACTTAGCTGCCACTTTGAAAAAATGTCCAGAAGGAGGCGCATCAGGGACCCAGAGGTGAGGGCGGGGGAGGGAATGAATGGCGGGAGCTGGACTGTTGGGGGCAAGTGGGCGGTAGGGCAGGATTGGGAGGCTGGATCATTGGGGGGCAGGCTGGTCTGGGGGGGCTGGACCATTGGGAGCGAGTGGGGGGAGGGCAGGATTGTAGGAGGATGAAGGAAGTGGGGCTGGACAATCCTGCAGGGAGTGAGTGAGAAATGAAGCCCATGGTGGGACGGGGTCTCCTTTGAGGGGCACTGGCCCAAGGGGCAGCACTGGATGATGCTGGGTGGGTGAGAAATTAATCCAAGGTGGGAGGGAGGGAGAATCCCTCAAATCTGGGCACTGGTCCTGGGTTTGATACTGGATGATCGGGGGAGGCAGTGTGAGAGATGCAGTCCATGGGAGGGGCAGCTGGTCAAGGGGGTGGTGGTGGAGGAGGGACTATAGAGGTGCCAGGCAGGCTCAGGTAGTTGACTCATAGTTTCATCAAAAAAGATGGGAAAAGAGTTTGAGGTGTCACCTTGAAATCTCTCAAGGTACGTCTACACTTGCTCCCTGGTTCGAGCTAGGGATGCAAAAGTAGGTGACCGAAGTTGCTAATGAAGTGGGGATTTTAAATATCCTGTGCTTCATTAGCATGATCTCGCTGGTGCATTATTCCACTCAACAGCTGTTTCGAAAGTGAAAGTGTGCACTGGGATGCATTACCTCGAACCAAACCCCTTGGTTTTGGAGTAACATTAATTTGAAGCAGAATCACGCGCTGGCGAGATCATGCTAATGAAGCGCGGGATATTTAAATCCCCGCTTCATTAGCAATTTTGGTCGCCTACATTTGCATCCCTAGCTCGAACTAGGGAGCAAGTGTAGACGTACCCTCAGATTCAGCAGGGCCAGCCCCATTGATTGAGACATCCCTATACTCAGCTCCCTACCAAAAATTTTCAGACCCAGCATGCCTATCCCCTACTTCCCTACCAAAAAAAAATTAGCCTCTGCAAGGATAACTAGCAAAAATACCATATGATAGGAAGCAAAACATTGCACTCTTGAAGAGGGGCTTTCAGCAATGGTAGGGAAACAAGCCATGGTGATTTGGGGGCTCTCCCTTCCACTGTGCTTTTAATGGCTCCAGGACTCATGATATGGGAAGAAAACAGAGACATAGTTTCTATTGTGAGTTTTGTATCTAAGTTTGCCAAGTCAAATAGCTCTGATTCTCAACGCCTCTTTTTTGAGTCAGAGATTTTGCTTTATGCAGCAGTAGAAAAGCATGGGGGTCTGCCATAATGGCCAGATGTCAGGTATTGGCAGCTGCGGTATGGCTGGAGGCTGTCAGGACCAGCTTCTGTTTTTCTAAATTTTGTTCCTCTGGTTTCCCAGGCAACGCTGGGTAAGTCCAGCTAATACCTTCTATAGACAAAAGGGCTTCCTATACCCCATCCCCAGATTTAGACCCAAGATAGTTTCCAAGTTTCAGTCGAGTCACGTCATCTTACTTATTTTTTCCCCTAAAGCACATGTATAGAAGTAGAGAGAAGACCACATCTCTGGTAGGGATGTCAATGAGTAATGGACTAGATGATTAACTGATAAACCTAAGAGAAGGGAGCAGGAGCTGGGGTTGGGGGAAGCTGGCTTAAAAACTGGTTCCCCCCCAGCACCGACTCCACAGTGCTGTCCCTCCGCCCACTACCACACTGCTGCCTCTATCGTGGGCAGAGGCTGCTTCATGGCAGTCTCTCCTTCCCAGCAGCCTCTGTCCACAGGGTGCTCAGACTCCCCGTGGACAGGGGCTGCCGCTACCACCTGTTGCTGCCCCCGTT